GTAACTAAACTAAATAATTCAGAGAACACATCATCATCATCATTTCAGATACGAATGTATAGACGAACTTTTTTGTATTAACACTATAACAGGGAGAGCAGGCAAGATGACACGGGAACAAAAAAGAAACTGGAAATAGTAATATTCACATATGTAATCGGAAAAGTGCGAAATCATACAGAATCATAAAGTAAAAGAAGGAAGGGTGAAAAATTATGTGAATCGACAGTAGAATCATGATGATTTCGAAGAAGAGGAAGGATATTTGGAGAGAGAAATGCGAGATAATACACACAATTCAAAGACTATAAAACAATAAATAACAGTAGGGACTGTAGATAGCACTTGAGTAGATCGAGGTCCGTGGAACCTTAGTGAAATCTGTATATTATTTGAATAATAAGCATAAGTTTGAAACAAACAAACTACTCCAGTACCCCAGAGTATACAATCACGAATCTGTACCTGGTAAATGAGTTTAAAAGGCATTTATCAGTCTGTTACAGTTTTCTTTTACATTTTCCAAAATATGAAAGAATTCCTCTTAGCTGAAATTTTCTTATGATGGCATTCTTATCCAAACTGTATCTCTTCTTAGAAACTACCCTTGTTCACCTGTATTTTTTATTGACAAAAAGAACTCAGCATATCCAGATTTAATCATTATGTGCCAACTTAAGGGATAATCTTGATCACATTTTTCTTTCCTGTACTTTTTCAATGACCCACGCTTTTATCACCTTTAGTTCGCTAATTTGGTTGTGTTCCAATGTCGTTGAGTGATATTATGTATATAGAATGGTGTTCCAATTAAACGATAAGTTCTGTTCGCATTAGAAAGATATCATGAAATCTCATGCGCGGAACTTGTTGAGTCGGCTTTCGGAGAACTTCACCGGAGCCTGCAGAGGCCCAAAAGGAGCCGAAGAGTCCTGGCCAATCAGAGCATGATGGAGCATTCTAGAATTCAAACGTGGCGTGCTACTATTGGTCAGTAGCATAATATGTCGTTAACGGATTGGCCGAAATATGATGTTGATTTAACAAACGTTAACATCTATAAATATCCATGTTTTCTGTACAAAAACGAACATTGGAGTAAAGTGTCTCTCTCATACTTTGCGTCTTCTTTCTGATGTTCAGGTCGCTGTATAGTTATCAGAATAGCTTAGGAACGATTATAACATCCAATCAGAAAGACTTGACAGTAGTGTTGCACGTCATACATCCTGTGTAACGAGATCTCACTAATCTCGTGTGTATTGAAAGACTCTTAATTACTTGTAATTGAAAAATAATCGTAGACCAATAATGAACATTACTTCAGCTACTTCCTAACAACGAAACATCTTAATTGAAACATTTATATTTTATTTAATGACTTAACGGTGGATGCCTGACGTTCTATTTAGTTGTATTCGTGAAGATCATTACTGTGAACAAATAATCTGTTCAATCTGTTATTTCAATTTATTCTAAACTGATGTATTATATAATCATAACACATAGATTCAATTAGCTTTCAAGGCATTTCATCAGATAAAATGGTATAAAACCATAACTGATATTGCAAAATTAACAGGCAAATACAATGGAATGGGAACTTTGCCAATACAATGAGAAGATGAAGGTTTTATCAGAGTTATGTAATATCTTTGCGCAATACATTTCAAACAATCTGATCTCCCATATACTTGTAGTGACTTACTTTTATCAAGAGAACGCAATTGATTGACTGAAAACAATAATTATTATAACTAATTGTCGAAAATTGACTGAAACCACCGAATACGAAACCACGTATACCATTGAAACTGGCTTCCTTCAACGGTCGCACAATAATGCAGATCGGACAACAGATAGGGTTGGATATGTTCTTAGAAATAACCAATTACACTAGTATTGGTTGATTATTAATTGATGGTAATCTTGTTATGATTATCTAAGGATTTCGTACAAGTTCTTAGTTCAATTGAACTACTTCATTGACATGAAATTATTATAGTTTGATTAAAGAAGCTGCAAAGACTATTTTTTTAATGAGTATATAGTAGTCATTATAAATAGACATTACTAACGATTAGAATGTGGATGTATTCTGTTGAAAAGTTTCTGACTACGACAAGACAATTATCATCCATTGCTTAGTGACTTTCAATCCCAACCGCTCACCCACCCACCCCCAAATGAAATCGAAATGTTGTCAGTTAACCGACAAAATAAAAATGTGATTTCAATGAAATAGATGAATTGTAGATAGCAGATAAACTCGATAGATGCATTTCGTTCTATTCAGGGATAGCTAGATAACTACGTATACCGAGATTGCAACCCAGAAACCTTTTTCATTTCAAATATCCAATGTTTTGTGCACTGAACTATTTATTTCACTCATCAACGAACTAGTTTAAAATATCTGATATTTATGTCGTTATTAGTAAAGATTCCGATCATGGCTACATCAAGGTGATTAACACATGATGCACACATATATATTAATAATAACTGGTCAAAACAAGATTGTGTATACTAATCACAGTATAATTCAAACACTTTAGGGTTAATTAATTTAATTATTTGTTGTTTTATCACGCAACAACCATAATCGAAAATTCCTGTACACAGATCATTAGAAATTAAATGAGAATTTCATTGGAATCATGAACCGATCCATGTTACACTATTATTTAAAACCTGAAAACACTGGACACCCGTTTCGTCCTAGTATAGGACGCATCAGAAGTGCGTATCTACAATCCCGCACGTGTGACTCGAACTCAGTGCCGTTGATCTTTCGAGGACGTTAAACCTCTGGACCACTGATTCAGCATCTAAAGATGTTAATGTTTAACTTTAATCGATTCAGGACATTGCACGACCATCTTCCATTGTCTTTGGTGGATAACTAACTGTATCACACTCAACACTGTCCAACTCCACCAATTACGGTTTATCACAGGAGCTTCAGAAATTTTCTCTCATTAATTAAAACATAATATCAGAATGGGTTTTGTGGAGATTTTAGAAATTTCACAGATTGAAATCATGAGTCAGTTGAAGCTAGACCACCATTGAAAACCTGGAAGCACTGGACGGCCGTTTCGTCCTAGTATGGGACTCCTCAGCAGTGCGCATCCACGATCCCGCACCATGCGGGGCTCGAACCCAGGACCTACTGGCTTCGCGCGCGAGCAGTAAAGGCTTGTAGAAATCCTTTCATGATTTAAATGAAATTCAATAATCCCTACAACCTCTTATTGATAAATGAGGATTGACATGGCAAATATCATTTACTTTACATTCACTATTCAATATATGCGTAAATTATTTTGTAGTTAATGAGAATAAACTGACATATACCACACCATATCCACATACCAATATAAGAACATGAATATTCAATGTTCAAAAGACAAGCACCGAATTTTGTCTTCAATATTAATTCATTCCATTAAAACACAGCATCATTGTGTACATGTAAGAAAGCAAAGTGATACACATACACAATTACACATAAGATCATCATTCTATAGAAGTATCATCAGAATTAAACAATATTCATGGATTGGTTGAAGCTAGACGTTAATACCGTTGGATGCCGGCTTAGTCTATGTGTGCTTGTTAAACTAATTTTTGTCCTCTCTAAATCATGGTTTAAGGCTCACACACATTGTGACCTTGAAATAACGATAAAAATATGAGCAGTAGACTTTATCAGCATTATTACACATTTTAAAACACAGAGATACACAGCCGTATAACTTCATTGGAACCATGTTATTCATTTAACGCGTTATTGAAGTTACACCTAAAACAGTCGATCTGACTCCTTTAAGTAAGTAGAAAACAAAATATGTTTGAGTAATCAGATGTTTCGATTGAGATCATGAGTTGATCAATATCAAACGGCCATTGAAAACCTGGAAGCACTGGAAGGCTGTTTCGTCCTAGAGTGTGACTTTTCACCAGTGAGCATCCACAACCCCATACGCGGGATTCGAATCCAGAACTATTGGTCTGGACTAAGTCAGAATGTTTTGTGCAAAGGTCCGATGAAATTACTGACTGGCTGCTCAGATCAAACAAGGTCATGAACGCTGTTCAAGCAAGTAATTCAATAACTCCAAGCCAAATGATTCAACTACATTAAACCACCGTTTCACTAGTGTTACATAGCCATTCAATTATTAATACCTAAGTAGAAGTCAGATACTAATATTTCTAACTTTATTCAACACTTATGAAATGTTTCTGAAATAAGAATTATTACCAAAATACATATGTCGGTGATCAATTTTCAAGTCGGGTCTTATATTCAGTTAATACAACACCATGGAGAAGATTTCAGTATCAGAAAAACCCAAAAGGTATTCGTAACATTTGCGTTTTATTACATAAAGGTTATTCACGGACCAGGAAGTAAAATCTACTTACATGAACATACAAACATTTGCAAAAACAATAAAAATCTAAATGAATTAGTGTTTGGTGGAGATCACTTTCATTTGTGCTCAATATTTGTTATGGTTTGGTTCAAACTACTAATAACAAGCTCAGTAGTGATTTAATTATAAACGAGTCCTAGTCAAATGATGTGATTAATGCTGTTGGATGTCAATTGTGCCAAATTGTAAATTGACTGGTGTTTGATACATGTATCAATAGACCCCAAAGCCAATGATCCTAACGGTTGTACACATCCGTTATGAGAACTGCTTCGCTTGGATTACATCCCTGGGTTTAGGGTTGTGAGTATGCACTCCTGAGAAATCTCATGCTGGTATGAAACAGTTGTCCTTTACTGCATGATTTTCAATGCTAGACCAAATATGATTAATCTGAGACGAAAATTGCTGATAAAATTAGTAATGTTATGAAATTTAGTAATACTCTATGAATTCAGCCAACCAAACTACAAAAAAAACATAAACGAGTCGATATTGACAAGATAATCTCCACAGTTAGTTCATATCAGTCAATATTATCCGGAACTCATACGACGGACTACAGTGTAAGGTCGTGCATGGAGGACAGCTGACAGATGTATTCCAAGTAAGGACCGGGGTCAGACAAGGCTGTTTACTCTCTCCCTTCCTCTTTCTTAGGGTGGTCGACTGGATTATGAAGACCTCGACATCTGAAGGAAAACACGGAATACAGCTCAGAACCAATTAGACGATCTGGACTACGCAGATGACCTAGCCCTCCTATCCCATACACACGAACAAATACAGATAAAGACAGCCAGTGTAGCAGCAGTTTCTGCATCAGTAGGCCTCAACATACACAAATGGAAAACCAAGGTCCTCAAATTCGAAACGGAGAACAGTAATCCAGTCACTCTTGATGGCGAAACTCTGGAAGATATAGAATCCTTCACATACCTGGGAAGCATCATCGATGAACAAGGAGGTTCAGATGCAGACATAAAGGCGAGGATTGGCAAAGCAAGGACAGCATTCCTACAATTGAAGAACATATGGAACTCAAAACAACTTTCAACCAGTATCAAAGTCACAATCTTCAATACGAACGTCAAGGCAGTTCTACTGTACGGAGCCGAAACTTGGAGAACTACAACAACCACCATCAAGAAGGTACAAGTATTTATAAATAGCTGTCTACGCAAGATACTCAACATCCATTGGCCGGATACCATCAGCAACAGTCTACTGTGGGAGAGAACGAACCAGCTTTCAGCCGAAGAGGAAATTAGGAAAAGACGATGGGAATGGACAGGACATACACTGCGCAAATCATCAAACTGCATCACGAGGCAAGCCCTAACTTGGAATCCTGAAGGGAAGCGGAAAAGAGGAAGGCTAAAGAACACATTACGTCGGGAAATAGAAGCAGGTATGAAAAGGATGAATAGGAACTGGAAGGAGCTGTAAAGGATTGCCCAGGACAGGGTTGGATGGCGAATGCTGGTGAGCGGCCTATGCTTCTTCAGGACGAGTAACTGGCGTAAGTAAGAAATAAGTAATATCTACTTTTACACAAAGTAGTTAAATTAAATAAATAACATTGTCGCAATCTGGAAAACTCACAAATATGATAGAGCTTCTGGAGATTGTTGGATATCATTGAGATGACGAACTGACCTATGTTAGATTAATATTGAAGCACTGGATGGTTATTTTATCTTACCTGAAAATCTTTGACCCTATCATCGATGAGGTTTTCGAATCGCACTGCTGAGGAGTAACAAACTAGAACGAAATAGTTGTTCAGAGATTCCGGGTTTTCAATGGTTATCTAACATAGGTTAGTACACGAGTCAAAGAAATATTTTCACAAAGGAGTTTTGTAGAGATTTCACTAATTTCAATAATTGGAATTATGGAAGTACTGGATGGCCGTTTCGTCCTATTGTAGGGCTCCTCAACTCCCTGAAGGTAATGGTGACGGTGGCGCAATTTCGTCGATTGGTTGACATTACCACCGTTGGATGCCGGCCGGCTCAGTGGTCTAATGGTTAAGCACTCGCGCGCGAGACTGACAGGTCCTTGGTTCAAATCTCGCGAGGCGGGATAGTTGATACGCGCTGCTGAAGAGTCCCACACTAAGACGTAACGGCCGTCCAGTTTCAGTGATTTTCTGTGTCGTTATTTATGAGCTATTAACAGCCTTTTTTCCATCACACATGAATTTTTGTAATGCTTGTGCTTGCAACATAGTTTTTAATCCAATTTATTAGCAGTTTGACGTATTTCTTGCTCACCACCCAAGTAAATCTGTAGTTAGCGTAATATGGTTATTTTTAACAATACAAAGTCAAACAAGTAAAACTCACCATTTTTCTAGTCAAAAATAGATTACAGATTGAGTTTTCATGAAAATAAGCCGTAAAACCCATTATATATGGTTCACCTCCTTGATTATAGTGACGGTGAACATAGATGACCGTAGTCGTTTATAAAATGTAAGTAGAAACAATTAAGCGTTAACCTAACTATGAATATTATATAACTTGTTTGTATTTAGCCACAAAAAGTTATATCCATTATAGGTAGCATTGTTTTGTACTGAAGTGACATATTATTACGTAACGTATCAGAGAAAAATTATGTGAGTAACAATTGACGTTGAAAGTCTTTTCTAGCGGCTTTATGAACGTATACAGGAATAGTGTATAACACCACATTAAGTAGGCACGAAATCTTCATAAGTAAAACGATGGGTGTCTCTTCTGAGCATGGTGACAAAACCATGTCGTACTTAATACTGATTTATGATGTGTCTGTTATAGGGTTGACGAATAAGTTTCTGTAAACGGAATGCGCAATCGCAGACCAAAATGTGAACAAAGTTATAATGCATATTGTCGAGTAATATGTTAATTGTGCTTACCAGTTTTTCTTGCGAATACCAAATGTCTAGACGAAATACTACAAGGGTTAGAAACTGTAGAGCGCTGTTTACATGAAGTTCCCAGTGCTTGTTACGACACAGACTTGAATCAAATAACAACTATTAATGAGTTAATTCACGAATTCCTACTGCATTACAGACTGACTCGTCCGAACTAATTCATGCAGATAACGTGACAAAAAGTGAATGAGCAATGGAGGCTAAATCACAAGTTTCTAGTATTCATATCTCCTTTATGCCACATTAATTAATTATATTTTCTTCATAAGTCGGACGACGCTTGTATGTTGTGATGATACTAACTACAGCAATTTGTAAATAACACTGATTTGTGTGTTGTTTACCTATGAATTTTTATTAACGGAAATTCAAATCTCTAATGATTAGCGCTGTTTGCAAATAAGAGACTTATAGGTACATTCTGTGACCTTCTATTTGATTGACTTATTGAATGTGATACTGATAACTAAGTCTAATTCTTTATTTCACGACTGATTTGTTGTTTTTTAAGAACTGCATGAATCCGTTAAAGTCCTCACAGCTTTGTGAAGATGTTTATGCCGGTCTACAACTTATGAAATTTGTGATTATAGAAGATCATGTGAAAAACCGGTTTACAAGTTTACAACTGTTTTCCATATTACCTAGTGATATTTTTATTCAGATGGTAATTGGAGGTAGTCAACAAGAAACTCTGGACCCGGGTTTCGTGCTACTTGGCACTCGTCAGCAAATGGTACCTGTAATCTTCAGGGAACTGATGCTCCCTGGCGGATTCGATCTCGTGTCACCCAGCTTCACAGTCAGAGACGTTACCACTGAGCTATCCGAGCCGTGACTAACCTCCTGTAGGACTGAGATGTAATGACAATTGATTGATCACTGGGTGGTGATCAATGTCATGCTTGTCTAGTCCTTATTAGTGCAGATCGAATGCTATCGATCATGTTGCAATTAACACCTTGCTGACGAGTGCCAAGTAGCACGAAACCCGAGTCCAGGGTTTCCTGTTGACTACCTCCAACTACCATCTAAATCTCAATACATAGTGCCCGCAGTGTCGAGTCACCTAGACTGGTGGCCACATTGCAACATGATCGATAGCATTCGATCTGCACTAATAAGGACTAGACAAGCATGACATTGATCACCAACTAGTGATCAATCAATTGCGATATTTTTATTCTACTGATGAATTATTGCAATATAAATATAGAAAGCATTCTCAGTGTTTTACTTTATGAACCGTGTCCGTATGTAAAAATTGTCGATATGACGCTAGAACAAAAATAGAGGAATAATATAAATTCATTATAATCCATGGAATGACCAAGTAATAAGATGGATTACGTAATAACTCATTTCACTTTTTAATATTTAGTTACCGATTTATTCCAGCACTCTGTCACCTACATCTACTCACTTAATCCTCTGTAATTATGTGAACTCTTCAAATTGTAATCAGTTATTACGTAACCCAAGTTTTCAGTTAATAAATCCACGGATCATTTATAACCTATAAGATTTTCACACCACTTATCTGTCTGTGAACTCCAGTCCATTATTACACTACCCATCCAGCTCAGAGAACAAAACTCCACCGGAAACTACCCATCCTTAATGTTTTAATGATGGTAAAACCAAATAACCTTTGACCTTAAACTGCACATATATATATACTTATGTATACAGTCATTATTGATAACCTACGTTATTTCAATTGTTCATATTCAGGTATGTCCACCTTTTCCCACATCATTGTTAAATCCTAATACATATTTAGCTGTAAGCAGTTGATGAGAAACTACAAAATAATGAATGCATACCACTGTTCATCAATATTTCTCCCGGTTTCATTTTAATTCATAAGCGGAACTAATCACATGAAATTAAAATCTACTTAGCTACTGATACTAATTTGATGATAAACGTTATCCGACGAAGGTGAATATGTTATGTGGCTGCCTAATCTGTAAGACTTTACGTGTAAGTAGGGTTTGTTAATCCTTCTTAATTATTACAGATAGTTACACGTGAACATCATTGCTATTCATTCCCATGAAAGTAGGAATAAGATGAAAATTAAAATTATGAAAGTTTATTGAGTAATCATTGCTGCCAAAGCAGAAAATCAAGTTTACAAGTTGGTATGAAGAATTCTTAAGTAATAATTGTCCACTTTTTTCTCAACTTCCCTTGCGAAACGTTAACCATACTTCTCAATGATGCGATGCTTATGGATTCTTTGGCTTCGTTGAACACATATATACACTTCACTCCGTCGTGGTAATGCAGTTAATGTATAATTTTGGAAGTTCTGGGTATTATGTAACATCCATCTGCTACAATACCTAAGAAGTTGATGAGCTATGCAGTTAGTATTTCATAATTGATATAGCTTACCTGTAAGATTTCGTCTTTTAACGTAGGCAAGTATCATGTGACGGCAGGGATATCGACCTATCATAAACGTGCTACAATTGCATTGACAAATGCTTATATCCACTTCATAATGTTGTCCGCGGTCAACCATGAACAACCAGTCGCCGCTTTCATATTCCACGTAGACGAAACGCATTTGTTTAAGTTCGTATAACAATTTAGATCTTGCGAATGGGGTCAAAATGTTTAACAGGGGTATAAGACGCTGTGGAGCATTATATTTATAAGATCTTCCGGCTATCACTTGATCTTCGATACTTCTTCTAGTTGACGTCATTTTACTCCATTTTAAAGCCTTGTACATACATTTGTACAGACTATCACTTTTTCGTACATATCGTTTAATTTGCCTATTTAGCGATTCAACACGATTATTCGTGCTGTTACCCAATGTTAAAACATTACCGTAAAACGCACGCGCCCACATTGTCTTACGTGGCATCCAAAAGCGTGATAGGTACTGGCCTACTATCACTCTGTCCCTCCGGTTTATTATTCTGTAATATTGATTAAATCTAGTGAATAAATACATTACAAAAATTACCTTCCGACCGTTTCCACAGTTACCAATCGAGTTAAGTACGTTCAGTATTTTGTCGTTTGTCTAAGGGCAATTTTATATAAGAAACCATTGGTGTACCTTTTTCCGGAAAGCGCAAATTACATGAAAGGCGCACAGAATGATGTTTGCATGTCCGTGTGTTATACAGACAGTCGCGCTTTCACATCGTGCGCAATCCCTCACAAATGTCTCTGTCAACATTGTGTTACCCTTCATCTCTTTGAATTGATCTAAAATCCATATCACATCGGCACGCTTTTCTTTTCGTGTCCACGCAAACATGACAGTTCGTCCTCGACCCCAATTATCTGTCACCACTAACTGGAATAACGAATATCTACATAGTAAAATACAACGAAAAACATATTCACTTTTTATTATTAGTATTATACGTAGAATCAATGCACAGAACTTCTGGATATTTCCTGTACAGCTGTATTTGGTCATAACTACTGAAACATATTCTCGTGGCATATCCATTTTCTAAATGTTCTCTCACTTCGCCTTTTTGTCTCAGCATATCCATTACCTGCTTCCGAGTACAACAACCTGAAATATATTTATATACACTTACCAGTGGAGAGTTCACCTTTCATAGCTTTGACATCGGAAGCGGTTACCTGCTTACCAGTTCTCTCTTTAATACATGATTGTGGAGCATGTTGTAGGTTTTGATGATATATCCTTGCTCCTCTAGTTTTACACGCATTTTAGATTGGAAATTACGGTTTAAACCGTGTCATCAGGAGAAAAAAAGAACTTGAAGCCAGTAATATTGCACTGTGAGTCAGCAGATGAAGTTATCGAAAGTATTAAAGAGAGAACTGGTAAGCAGGTAACCGCTTCCGATGTCAAAGCTATGAAAGGTGAACTCTCCACTGGTAAGTGTATATAAATATATTTCAGGTTGTTGTACTCGGAAGCAGGTAATGGATATGCTGAGACAAAAAGGCGAAGTGAGAGAACATTTAGAAAATGGATATGCCACGAGAATATGTTTCAGTAGTTATGACCAAATACAGCTGTACAGGAAATATCCAGAAGTTCTGTGCATTGATTCTACGTATAATACTAATAATAAAAAGTGAATATGTTTTTCGTTGTATTTTACTATGTAGATATTCGTTATTCCAGTTAGTGGTGACAGATAATTGGGGTCGAGGACGAACTGTCATGTTTGCGTGGACACGAAAAGAAAAGCGTGCCGATGTGATATGGATTTTAGATCAATTCAAAGAGATGAAGGGTAACACAATGTTGACAGAGACATTTGTGAGGGATTGCGCATGATGTGAAAGCGCGACTGTCTGTATAACACACGGACATGCAAACATCATTCTGTGCGCCTTTCATGTAATTTGCGCTTTCCGGAAAAAGGTACACCAATGGTTTCTTATATAAAATTGCCCTTAGACAAACGACAAAATACTGAACGTACTTAACTCGATTGGTAACTGTGGAAACGGTCGGAAGGTAATTTTTGTAATGTATTTATTCACTAGATTTAATCAATATTACAGAATAATAAACCGGAGGGACAGAGTGATAGTAGGCCAGTACCTATCACGCTTTTGGATGCCACGTAAGACAATGTGGGCGCGTGCGTTTTACGGTAATGTTTTAACATTGGGTAACAGCACGAATAATCGTGTTGAATCGCTAAATAGGCAAATTAAACGATATGTACGAAAAAGTGATAGTCTGTACAAATGTATGTACAAGGCTTTAAAATGGAGTAAAATGACATCAACTAGAAGAAGTATCGAAGATCAAGTGATAGCCGGAAGATCTTATAAATATAATGCTCCACAGCGTCTTATACCCCTGTTAAACATTTTGACCCCATTCGCAAGATCTAAATTGTTATACGAACTTAAACAAATGCGTTTCGTCTACGTGGAATATGAAAGCGGCGACTGGTTGTTCATGGTTGACCGCGGACAACATTATGAAGTGGATATAAGCATTTGTCAATGCAATTGTAGCACGTTTATGATAGGTCGATATCCCTGCCGTCACATGATACTTGCCTACGTTAAAAGACGAAATCTTACAGGTAAGCTATATCAATTATGAAATACTAACTGCATAGCTCATCAACTTCTTAGATATTGCAACAAATAGAAGTTACATATTACGCATAACTCAATATCACAGTCAGAAATATTACAATTGAGTTATCCAACATGTAACTGACCTCCACGCTTATGTTAAGAACAAACATTAAAATGTTCGAACCGCAAATTAATCTAAACAACAAATAATTAAGTAGAACAAAAAGGTTATATCGATACTTTAAGCATGATCAAAATAATATCCTGATTATGAAACTAATTGAAAATGTAGTGAAATGCATTCAGTAAACAACACAGATCACTCTTTGTCCTCTTTTTTAGCTTTCGTCGATAATGAATGAAGTTATAACAACTGTGATGAAATTTCAGTTAGTTACTAGGTAATCAGAAAGCAGCTTTTGTAAATGGATAAGTTATGATAAAGAGAACAATAGCACTGGAAAGTGTACACAAATTCTGTGCACTTGATAAATCTATTCAAATTATCATAGTAGTTACTTGGTAAATTGAAAAATCTAGTCATATACATCCATCCTTGTGGATGAATCAAAAACCTCTAAATCATTTATGATTAGGGTAAGATATTCATGGTTAGGACTGGCAGTTACGAGTTGGCATCAGATATAAAACAAAACATTTCCACGGAACAAATATGGATGACAGAATTCCATTCATGCAAGAGGCCATAAAATATAATGTCAATAAGTGAATGTTTGTTCCAGCACTAAAGGTTTAAGATTAGAATGTAAGGACAGTTTTTGGTGGAGTTTTGTTCTCTGAGCTGGATGGTTTGGTCGTGGAGCTTTCATCGTTTTTCTGAACGACATCATCAGCACAAACTTCAGATAGAAGTGAAGTGTTTGTGCTGATGATGTCGAACGATGAAAGCTCCACGACCAAACCATCCAGCTCAGAGAACAAAACTCCACCAAAATCATCCACCTGAGCTACAAATCTTCTCCACCATGTAAGGACAGTGTTGGTTTCCTCGTTATTTACACTGTGGCCAGAACTGATATTTCGTTATGAGTTTGAACAAATACAAAAGTATGTCTAATATTAGTGATACGTGATTAATGAATGTTGCACAAAAACCTACAACTCATGTTCTAGTGTTATAATCTCTTTCTTACGGTATGACCAAGCTATTCCTATTGCTTAGTAGTCTTGGACACCAAATCACTCGACAAGTCCCCAAATCAGAACACGGTTGAACAGGAAAGAGATTATATTCCAAAAAACAAGGTTAGATGGAAACCAATCAGCGTGCACTGAAGCAATCATGCATTGAGCATGCTTTAATCCAGTCTATGTCCCGCTAACATCTCGATTTTGATTGGCTTTTCCTCATACTATATTTATAGTTTGATGGGCGTAAACTACCTGGTTGAGATAAGTGACTAATGTGACTAATGGTTGGAGACATTGTTAACATGGCTCACAATCAGTGGAAACAGTGATGGGATTTATCTTGATAATTTCATCTTGTTGCGTTGATATGATCTGGTAAGCTGAACCGATATACGCTTGTGCTAAGTTCTACGTTGCTTGTGATAACTTTTTGCAACAAACATGATTTGAATGAATAAAACGAATGAAAGTAAAAGACAATATAACTCACTCATATCTGTGGTTGATTCAGTCAATCCTATATCTTTTATCCGTAATATAAATGTAGCCAAATTGCCTTTGTTCAGTAGACGATCATGATTATTTTCACCATGACCACTTTCACCGTAGCTGCTAAAAGAATCATTATCAATTGAATATTTGGTTGTTGCAATTTTGGCACCGGTAAATAGAACTGATGAGGTAAATTATTTCATTTGGGATTACAGTTAAGTGACTTCTCCATTCTGAACCACTTTTTACTATTTCATTATAATCCAAGCTGGTTAAATAACCACCAATCTGTTCAGGATCCACATGATTTTCATTAGATATTCATGTTACATGAGCTATTTAGAAGGAGATACAACATTTGTAAAATGGAAATATAGTGATGATAATAATAAAACCAATAGTCCGACAGTCAATTTAAAGTCTGGCACAAACGCCCGTTGGCCCCAGATACCATTGGCAAATCGAGACGAATAGCTAAGGAGTCGAAATAACTGTAGTAGTAATGATAATGAAAAGACTAAACACTGAAACCATAGTTCGAAAAGGCAGAATGAATGGCAAACGTACGACGGAATAATGAAACTCCAGATCTAGAGGAGGACAGAGTGTAAATGTATATGTGCCATCGTGGTCGGTTATTAGCCACGTCAACCGTCGTCGCCAACCGCTGATCGCAGTTATTGCGTGGACATCAACCAGGTAATCTGCACCAACCCATATGGCTCAGTCCAACAGCCAATAACTTGGTGGACTGATACCACATTTTAGTTCCAGTACCCCTAACTTTCCTGCAGGTTATTCCTAAACGAGCTAACACTTTCCACCAAGATAGATGAAGGTTAGGCACACGTAACAAATGTCTCGACCACCTCGATTGATGAAAACATGTCTGAAGATATTAATTGGTAATAGTGAGAAAACGTAAACTTTTAGAAATAAAACTCATAGAGATCAAATAATAAATAAGTTCCGAGCTCAAACATTTCAATAGTAACATTCCAAACTATTAAAATCAACAACTCAGATTTCGACCTACCAGAAAGTATCAGTTCTTTCAAAATTGCAAGTATGTTTTGATAACAAGCACTAACCAGATGACAAACTAGTTCAAGAAGAGTTCTTTTTTTATGACTAATTACAAATATTTAGTATGAAGAATCAATGTTAAGCTTATTAATATCAGAAGGGGTTTTGTGTAGATTGTAGTAATTTCAACAGTTGAGATCATGAGTCAGTTTAAGCTCGACCACCATGGAAAACCTGGAGGCACTGGACGGCCGTTTCGTCCTATTGTGGGACTCTTCAGCAGTGCACATCCACGACCCCGCCTCGTGGGACTCGAACCCAGGAACTATCAGTTTCAACTATTCCACGAAATCGAGCGACACATTCACCATTGTCTCCAGTGAGTTACTATCTCACAACTGACCCGGTTGAACTCCACTGCTCACTACTTCTCACCAGAACTCCAGGATATACCTCTTGAAACCAGTGTAATAAAACCACATGATAATGATCGAGAATAATTGGCACACCTATTTATAAGATATTTAGAAACTGCAGTTTTAATTAATATTCTGTACAATTTTCTCCAAAAAAAGAAAACTATTTATAAACGATGTGCCTAGCGAGATGTGACACTCGTTTATGAAAATACATTTCAGTTTATGACAGTCTATGACGTTACATTAATCTTAATAAGTAAGTTTGACTAAACAGTTGTAAACAAGAATGTTCTGCAATTTTTTATTCCAATGGTAATGAATGCTGAAAAAGCTGGAATCTAATGTACAGACTACTCACTACTATCAAGATAAATCAATTTGGTCTCTTCAATAAACATACGGGACGAAATGCTGATACGCTTACTGAAATCGTTCTGAACTCCCAGTGAAGTTCAAACATGTTGATTACTAGATAGTTAATAACCAAATGCACTGGAAGATTTTCGCACGATATTGTGAATTGATTGAAGTCAAATATACAAACCACTAGATGTTAGCCCCCAAATGACCTGGAACGACAGAGGGTGAGGAGAGTCCACTCTCCCTCTCGAAATGCTCTCACATGGCTACGCCTATATAGCCTCTACCAGGGAAGTCCTACTTACTGCATCCTCGTGGCGGGGGTGTTGTTTACGAAATTGAGAGGACGAAAAGAGAATGTCCGGCGCTTTAGCCGGGTTGGTGGACAAAGGGAGTCCACCTAGCGAAGTTGGAAAACCCTGATTCCAAACTGATGGAGCACATGGCTTCCAGCATCCTGAGGGACAAATAGCGTATGAACCAATCGTTGGGCACCGGCTACCATGAAACTGCATCTCTTTACGATGCTCCACTGCCTTGTGGATCGGACCTTCAGGTCAAAGGTTCTGGTTGTGGCCCCCTAAGTAAACCACCTGTTCAGGTTTGGATGTATTGGATGAGATCCGAAATTCTGAAAGCTTTATTTAATCATTTTAAAAGTTTTTATAAGTAAACAACTTCATTTTTATCCATGCGATAAATGAATTATGGCTAGCAGTAAAATATCAACAAAGACTGACCGGATTTCAGAACAAGGATATTAACAATGTGATATCAAAACCCCTTTTAATTATAACAACGACAGTCACTGGTCATGCTGATTAACATTATGTCAGTTCCATGACCCAGAGGATCATTTCTATTTTTCGACAAGGTATATGCACAACGTAAGATGGCAGTTTCAGATTTTGACGACTTACAACTTCTGAGAACGAAGTTTCGTGAATTTTATTGTAGTATAGTAACGTTTTAGCACATGAACAAATATCATCAGGAGATATTTAGGTGTACAAAACACAAACATTCATCTATTTGCTCCAATCTAAACCAACCCATACAAACGATAAATACACAAAAGTAAATTTTCTACAAAACGGACAATATTTGTCAAAGTTTGATTTATACAGGTTTTTACGCTGTTCAACTTTAAAGTTAACCACGCTTTAAGGAGGAAATATTCAATGCTTAAACACTACTAATAAGCAAATGTGCGGAGCTTTAACCGGTTTGGTGAGAGAGATACTGAAGGGACTTTGAGAGTGGAAACCTACTGACTAAGGCTAAATGAGGGTTATACGGCAATTAGAATTCTCATTTACGGTTGATGGTTACAATTAGAAATGACATTTAGGGTTTTCATCACGAGCCGACATCAGCCAAGACTCTATTTAGCCAAAAGTATGGATGAACCTCGCGTCATAACTCGTGACTCGTTATTTTAAATACGGTTAGTTCGTCCATAAATTATAGTTTCGCCGATTAATGGATTAAAAATCTTAACAACTCCGTTGAGCTTCTAACTACCGTTCCTACAACCTTCCAGTCAAATGAATTGGTCCTGTTGTTGTAACGGGTGGACTGCACGGTTAGATGCGCCGCGTATTTATCGATCGAATCAATGACATGTAAGGACGACCTAGATTCCCGATTGGTCCCGCCTCCCTGTCTAGCCCAGCCAGTTGAGTCTAGAACGCAAGTCACAGCCTCTGAGATATGAATCGTTATATTTCAAACATACTCATTATATACCAACCAAACAGACCACATCGTAGCATAAAAATAGAAAACATCTGTACAATATTTAACGAGTGAAATAAATAATGGCCGATAGGGAATGCCCATTTAGAGTCCAAGGACATCATTAGACTTAACATGATAATGATTGGTATATTCCTCAGCATCCCTAACACCTGTATAACCGTCATGTTGGTGATAAAAAGACTAGTAACTGCATCCATCTATCATGATTTAAATAATGACCGAAATCCGAAGAATTACGTGCAGAATATAAGACGTGAATGAGTCAAGTTCTACTAATGAAACTAATTGTAAGCAGAGTCAGAGGACGAACAAGAAGGATATAAAACATTCTAGCTATAGACGATACTGCTTAAACCAATTGTTGGTTGACCATATAGTCAGACACCTGTAATATCACAGAAAAAGCCAAAAATAGTGTTTGTAAGGGTTAGAAACAACTGAACACATCACTAAACTTACTTGTTGAGATACAGTCATATTCTAAGAACAACGTTGGCTCAGCTGCATTGTCGATTATGAAAGAACATTCTCTCGCCAACAAATCAGCAGATAAGTCAGATGAATAATGAACGGAATTTTTACATACAGAATGGACAGAACATCTAGATATATTGGCAGCCACATCGACCCAACAATCTCAAGAATTGTGTGCACAACACCGACTGGTTGATTTTGACATAAGTAGAATCTCACGAGAATAACCAAAGTGAGCATCATGAATAGTTAATGTTTTTTCAGAGCAACAATGCATGCGCCGAGACTCGTTATAGCATGACAATTCCCAATATAAAATTCCCCAGACACATAACTGGAAAAATGGATAAATACCAACCGAAGCTTCAAAAATGCAAATAAAGATCCATACTTGGTATGTAAAGAGAATACCAAGATGCATACCCCATATCTTCAGGGTATCTTCCAAACATGCATTTTGAAATTGTGCAACTACTGTGGTGGACCAAAAAGTAAATTAACCAAAAAACAGCAATAAAGTTATTGCATGCAAAAGTTAATGTAGCAATAAACAACGCATAAGGTAGTAACACAAATAAAAGTTTAGGGACGTCACTTAAATCAGCAAGTTGGCGCGTTTCTTGTAGATTTTGGTACCAGAATCCACAATTATAGATAAATAATAAACCCAATGAGACGATGACTCCAGTAGTATATCAGAACGTAGAATGTAATGTGGGTTTTACGAGTCTATAAATAGAGACGATAGTTAAGTAATCGTTCCGTTATCATATCCACAAACACGGTAGAACGAGAGACGTATGTCTAAAAGTGCATCTAATTACGAGCAGCTAACAAAGCCATGCCATGCGAGGTTCAAAAACGGAAGGAAGAATGTAGATATCCAAGGTCATATACTTAAACAACAGGTACAATCGAATAATGATAAATGTACAGATTGTGAGAATTGTCAAAATAAATGCAAAAGATAACAAAAACTACTTACAAAATAGGTTTATTAGGTCTGTCTCTACAATACTCTCTGTAACTTGAGAATATGTGGACCTAACACTCACTTATTCGGACAATCAAATATGATTTAGCATGAACCATTTTAAGAAAATTCTCATGGACAAAACATTTATAAGATCATTTTCAATAGGATTCTTGGGCAAAATGAAATGTATTCAAATCAAAAGCAAAGAAACTCTCA